AACAAAGCCTGCAGTACCGCAGTCGGCCTTGAACTTCTGTGGCTTGAATGAGAGGGGGCAGTCCTTTTCCCTTGGAATGGATGCTATGGTTGTCATGGAGATGATACCTTTTGGGGGCCAGTGTCGCCAACTTAGCGACTTTGTCGCTATATTTAGCGAGTTTTTCAGACCCCTCTAGCGACACATTTTCAAAAAAGCGACTAGCGACAAATCTAGCAACTTTTTCTGGTGTTATTGGAGACTTTTGGAGACTCTGATGTGAAAGCACGTATCGTTCTTACTCTTCTCAACGAGCAGCGGGTGCTGTCGTGGGCCCCACCCCCGTCCCAAAGCACTCACAGGCGGCCCAGTCCTCACGCAGCAGTCCCTCCCAGCTGCAGTCAGAGCAGGAGATGTTCACCACTCCGCATCCAGACTGCAAATGAATCGCGTATGCAAAAATAAACATTATAATAATAAAAATACAAAACTAAGTAACTCCGCCAGAGTGTCTCTTTTGGTTCACTTTTTTCGGTCCCAAGCCCGGATAAAGGAGGGTTGGAATTGTGACATAAAAAAAAACAAGAATCGACAGAAGAAAGTTAATTTGTAGTTGATGATGAAATCTTGCAACTTGTGACGGCCGGCCACCCAACAACCTGCCCGCTTGACCCTATCCCCTCCTCCTCCAGACCATTTCCGGAGACCTTCTCCCTTACCTCACCTCGCTCATCAACTCATCCATGACCGCTGGCCATGTCCCTTTCCGTCTTCAAGAGAGCGAGAGTTGCACCCCTCCTCAAAAAACCTACACTCGATCCCTCCGATGTCAACAACTACAGACCAGTATCCCTTCTTTCTTTTCTCTCCAAAACTCTTGAGCATGCCGTCTCTAGCCAACTCTCCTGCTATCTCTCTCAGAATGACCTTCTTGATCCAAACCAGTCAGGTTTCAAGACTGGTCATTCAACTGAGACTGCTCTTCTCTGTGTCACAGAGGCTCTCTGCACTGCTAAAGCTAACTCTCTCTCCTCTGCTCTTATCCTTCTAGACCTATCCGCTGCCTTTGATATTGTGAACCATCAGATCCTCCTCTCCACCCTCTCCGAGTTGGGCATCTCTGGCGCTACTCACTCTTGGATTGCGTCCTACCTGACAGGTCGCTCCTACCAGGTGGCGTGGCGAGAATCTGTCTCCGCACCACGTGCTCTCACCACTGGTGTCCCCCAGGGCTCAGTTCTAGGCCCTCTCCTATTCTCTCTATAACCTTCCCAAGTTCTCTCATGTCACCCCGCTCCTCCGCACACTACCACTGGCTTCCAGTTGAGGCTCGCATCTACTACAAGACCATGGTGCTTGCCTACGGAGCAGTGAGGGGAACGGCACCTCCTTACCTTCAGGCTCTGATCAGACCCTACACCCAAACGAGGGCACTACGTTCATCCACCTCTGGCCTGCTAGCTCCCCTACCTCTACGGAAGCACAGTTCCCGCTCAACCCAGTCAAAGCTATTCGCTGCTCTGGCACCCCAATGGTGGAACAAGCTCCCCCACGACGCCAGGACAGCGGAGTCACTGACTGGAGTCACCCATAAAAATAAAAAAAAGGTGGTTGTCCCACTGGCTATCATAAGTTGAATGCACCAATTTGTAAAATTATCCAGAGCGTCTGCTAAATGATGTAAATGTAAATGTAGTTCTAAACATATTTAGGGTGTTTTTTACTCACTTTTTGTCTCTCCCACGACGTTATTCCTCTCTCCTACAGCGTCCATCACAATTACATGCACATTGCAAATTATGCAAATTAGGTGATGACGTCATTTAGCGACTTTTAGGACAGCCAATAGCTACTTTCCTTACTGGGGAGTTGGCAACACTGTGGGGCCTCGAGGCCAGTCTCGAGTTTAGCTGACAGCATGCTGAGGGGACGCTCACATTTCCTCTGTTTATGTTTGCCCTGATCTAAAGACAGAAAGTGGGAGAAAAAAACAGATATTCTACAAAAGCTAGCTAGAAATTCATTTATTTCTATGAATTAAATAATTTGTAATTTAGCTAGTGCATTTAATTGACTGAAAACATGTCTATAGACTCACCATGTAATATTTGATCTAATCGTGTTGGCTAGCAAACTAACGTTAGCTAAACCAGAGTCATACTTAGTAGACTCTGAGCTTAACCAGTGAGCTCGCGCAGTCGGGGGAATCACAGCTTGATTCTTTTTCGCGCAAGGCATGACATGACAGCCAAATGTATAGTCAATGTTGCTAGCGTCAATACACACTGTATTGCAAGGTAAACTCTTCAAATATAACGGTCACTAATAACAGTGACTGGTAGCCCGTGGAATTACCTAGCACAGCTAGTTTAGCAGACTAAAGTGTCTCTCTCACCTCGGCGCTGCGAGTCCCCACAACCCCTCTTCGACCAGGCAGGCCTGGCTCCTTCTGACATGGGTTGCGGGTTTATAGCCGAGATCAAGAAAAAGGACAGTAAAAAAGCATCGCCGAAGATTCCTTATCGTCCATTTAGAATCCTCCCGCGGCTTCAATTTGTCGTTATTTTAACTGGATATCAAAATAATGTTTGTCTATGGAGTCCATAGCCATTGCAGACGCCATATTATTCTCTGCACTGACGTCATTTCCTGAGGTATAGCCCATTCGAACGGAACTGTAGTGGCGTCGTTGTGCGCCTGTCAATCAAAATCATCAGGCAGGTGTACTATACTGGGCCAACCTGCAGTACAGAATAATTGAGGCGCGATTATAGAGCTGCAGTGCAGAATAATTTAGGCGTCTCTTCCTCATACTGATCTTGTAATCAACTATTACATTTAAGTCATTTAGCAGACGCTCTTATCCAGAGCGACTTACAGTTAGTGAGTGCATACATTTTTCATACTGGCCCCCCGTGGGAATCGAACCCACAACCCTGGCGTTGCAAGTGCCATGCTCTACCAACTGAGCTACAGGAGGGCCTATTCTTTCTCTCACTGTTCTAATCAAATCAAATCAAATTGTATTGGTCACATGCGCCGAATACAACAGGTGCAGACATCACAGTGAAATGCTTACTTACAGCCCTTAACCAAGAGTGCATTTATTTTTAACAAAAAAGTAAAAATAAAACAACAACAAAAAAAGTGTTGAGAAAAAAAAGAGCAGAAGTAAAATAAAATAACAGTAGGGAGGCTATATATACAGGGGGGTACCGTTGCAGAGTCAATGTGCGGGGGCACCGGCTAGTTGAGGTAATATGTACATGTGGGTAGAGTTAAAGTGACTATGCATAAATAATTAACAGAGTAGCAGCAGCGTAAAAAGGATGGGATGGGGGGGCAGTGCAAATAGTCCGGGTAGCCATGATTAGCTGTTCAGGAGTCTTATAATTGGTCATTTTTGGCTTATGGCTTGGGGGTAGAAGCTGTTGAGAAGTCTTTTGGACCTAGACTTGGCACTCCGGTACCGCTTGCCGTGCGGTAGCAGAGAGAACAGTCTATGACTAGGGTGGCTGGAGTCTTTTACAATTTTGAGGGCCTTCCTCTGACACCGCCTGGTATAGAGGTCCTGGATGGCAGGAAGCTTGGCCCCAGTGATGTACTGGGCCGTACGCACTACCCTCTGTAGTGCCTTGCGGTCGGAGGCCAAGCAGTTGCCATACCAGGCGGTGATGCAACCAGTCAGGATGCTCTCGATGGTGCAGCTGTAGAATTTTTTGAGGATCTGAGGACCCATGCCAAATCTTTTCAGTCTCCTGAGGGGGAATAGGCTTTGTCGTGCCCTCTTCACGACTGTCTTGGTGTGTTTGGACCATGATAGTTCGTTGGTGATGTGGACACCAAGGAACTTGAAGCTCTCAACCTGTTCTACATTGTTATTTGTGGTATTACATTGTTATTGATTACTGCATTGTTGGGTTTAGAGCTTGCAAGAAATGCATTTCACTGTACTTGTGCACATGACATAAAAAAACATGAAACTTGAAACTATGGAAAGAGTGCAGTCATTGATCTAGGTTCAGAGGCAGTAGAAAGTAGCATGCTCAAACACAGGCCCGCTTTAGATGTCCCCCCATCCTCCCTAATAACAATAAAGCCAGTTGAATCACTGCATGGTAGACATTCTTGTTCTACAATAGGGCAGTGTTTATTAATCTTTCCCCCAGATACATTTACAGGTGGGGAACAAAATTGAAAACTCTTTACACTACTGAGCAGAGCTGTAACCTACTGTTCTGGCCTGGTTATACATATGCATCCATCACAGTTGGTGGAAACAAGGATATACTGTATATTAGTTTGTTATAGATATACGCTGGAAAGGCAAATGTAAAATACAAAATAAACCTGGCCAGTATAGTTCGGGTCATATCTATCTAGCTACCTTTTATGCTAACCCCTCACACACTCATAAGTACAGCCCCACTGACAGCTAGAGCAAAACATAATGGTCTGGAGGGGCTGAAGATGTTAAGATATTTTGCCTTTCCCTTTGTGCAGGTGAAAGATTGAGGGGATATGGAGAATGAGATACCATTGGCAAAGTGACCGAGAGAATTTATAATCGTACTAGGGCAGACCCTATGAAAAAACTACAAATGGACACATTATGAAAGACGTCATCAAGATAGGACGGACCCAGGTATCTGAAGTTCTTTTTATTTTATTTTGTAATGGATGAATAAAAAATAAAATAAAAACCACACTGATGAAACAGCATGAATTGTATACAGTTACTTCACAGTAGCTGTCAACAGTACCAGTGGATATTGTGTAAAGAAATAATTTTACTTGCGCGTGAATTAGAATATTGCATCATCCCTTGCAGGACCCCTTTTCTTTTGAGTCATTCATCAAAGAAGAACGAAATAATACATTTTTATAGTAAAATTCCAGAGGACACATGATAAACAGTTGATTTCTGATAACTGCAACGTTTTACTAGTGATAATACAAGAGAAAACCCTTACTGCGTAAAATTCGGTGTATTAAATCATTCAGGCAATCTCCGCAGCATACTGAAATTCCTTTTACGTTCAAGATGGCGGGTGACGAGTCTGGAATAACGCTGGGTCAGCCTCATCTTTCCAAACAAGATCTAAATTCTCTGGTGAGTGTTTATCTTTTCAACAGTGATGATAATGATAGTGATGGTTTGGTTCCCTAAAAGTCATCGGAAAAAATATGAATAGTTATGTTGTCGCGGGCACCGGGAAAGCGGCTGTTCAACCGGCACATGCTAACAGTAACTAGCTAACGTTAGCTTGGCTGTCCTAGAAGCGTGGGGATTGTCCATATTCATTCTCGCCGAATGAGTAAAGGCAGTTTCCTCTTTCATATACAGGAACATTCTAGACCTACAGGTCCATTTGTCAGTTGTTGTTTATGTGCATTTGTCTGTGGAATTATAACAGCTGTTCAGTGCATCATCTTCCCTGAATGCACAGGAAATGTGTCGCAGCAGCACATCTGAACAACAGCCCATTCATTTGTATGAATGACCTGTAATCAACACTTCTTCGTTTTTTATTAAGATACGCTGTAATTAAACTAAGTTTAGCTGTTCAATTAGTCGATAATATTGCTGTGGATGTTAACATGGTACCATCTGCACCTGATGGTCACATCAACGAGCACGTCGTCACGTAGGCTAAACTCGCAGCCTCTGCCCAGGTCCCGTTTCCTAATGCAGAATAGATGACACTTCCAGATTATAATACAGACAGACAGTCCTCTCTGTCTGCTTCACAATGTCATAGCTCACAATACTGACACAATTAATCATCCATTCCTTATTTCTCATGACTACATCTCTCATTGTTATTTAGCCTACTCCAGATTAAGTACCATGCCTTGCTTACTTTATTGACCTGTGTGTGTTCTCTCAACAGGATGTGTCCATCCTGACCCCTCTCTCTCAAGAGATCATCAGCAGACAGGCCACCATCAACATTGGTGAGTGAACCAGAACCAGTCCCCTATAGCAGCTAGTGTTGTCATGATACCAGTATCGCGATACCAGATTTTCCTTAGCAAAAAAGAAAACACTAAGCAGACTCAACTCAATGGTCCTTTAAATCAAATCAAATGTTATTTGTCACATGCGCCGAATACAACCGGTCTAGTAGACCTTACCGTGAAATGCTTACTTACAAGCCCTTAACCAACAATGCAGTGTTAAGAAAATATTAACTAAATGAACGAAAGTTTTTTTTAAAGTAACACAATAAAATAACAATAACGAGGCTACCGGTACCGAGTCATGTCAGTTGAGGTAATTTGTAGGTAAGGGTAAAGTGACTATGCATAGATAATAAACCGCGAGTAGCAGCAGTGTAAAAACAAAGGGTGGCCGTTTGATTAATTGTTCGGCAGTCTTATGGCTTGGGGGTAGAAGCTGTTAAGGAGCCTTTTGGACCTAGACTTGGTGCTCTGGTACCACTTGCCATGCGGTAGCAGAGAGAACAGTATGACTTGGGTTTCTGGAGTCTTTGACTAGTATAGAGGTCCTGTATAAGAGGTCCTGGATGGCAGGAAGCTTAGCCTCAGTGATGTACTGGGCTGTACGCACTACCCGTAGCGCCTTACGGTCGGATGCCAAGCAGTTGCCATACCAGGCGGTGATGCAACCGGTCAGGATGCTCTCTGGTGCAGCTGTATAACTTTTTGAGGATCTGGGGACTCATGCCAAATCTTTTCAGTCTCCTGAGGGGAAATAGGCGTTGTCCTCTTCACCACTGTCTTGGTGTGTTTGGACCATGATACTTTTGTAAAATATTGTGTGCTATAGCTTGGAAAATAAAAACATGTGACTATGGATGACAACATACGGCTGTTTTTACCAACTTTAGGATTGTTTTCCTCAAGAAATTAAGTCTGCTTCATGTTTTGTTTTCTGTGCTTCCTTACTTTCTAGTATTGCGATACTGGTATCGTGACAACACTAATGGCAGCAGTGGTGTCTTGTCTAACATGAGACCTGGGGACTTCAGCCATCTATAGTCTGCCTCTTACCTGTCTAACATGAGACCTGGGGACTTCAACCATCTATAGTCTGCCTCTTACCTGTCTAACATGAGACCTGTGGACCTCAGCCATCTATAGTCTGCCTCTTACCTGTCTAACATGAGACCTGGGGACTTCAGCCATCTATAGTCTGCCTCTTACCTGTCTAACATGAGACCTGGGGACCTCAGCCATATATAGTCTGCCTCTTACCTGTCTAACATGAGACCTGGGGACTTCAGCCATCTATAGTCTGCCTCTTACCTGTCTAACATGAGACCTGGGGACCTCAGCCATCTATAGTCTGCCTCTTACCTGTCTAACATGAGACCTGGGGACCTCAGCCATCTATAGTCTGCCTCTTACCTGTCTAACATGAGACCTGGGGACCTCAGCCATCTATAGTCTGCCTCTTACCTGTCTAACATGAGACCTGGGGACTTCAGCCATCTATAGTCTGCCTCTTACCTGTCTAACATGAGACCTGGGGACCTCAGCCATCTATAGTCTGCCTCTTACCTGTCTAACATGAGACCTGGGGACTTCAGCCATCTATAGTCTGCCTCTTACCTGTCTAACATGAGACCTGGGGACCTCAGCCATATATAGTCCGCTCCTTACCTGATCTCCCAATTCTAGCCTGTCTGATTAAATGCACAAATTTGACATTGGGAAAATAAGGATTCAAAGGCTGATTATTGACGATGTTATACTGTGAGCGTTGACCCCTAATACCCTTCTCTACCGCCCTAGCACCTCCAGTAACACCCTCTGTTCTCTCCTGCCCTCTGCCTTGTAGGCACCATTGGTCATGTGGCCCACGGAAAGTCTACGGTGGTCAAGGCCATCTCTGGTGTTCACACTGTCCGCTTCAAGAACGAGCTGGAGAGGAACATCACCATTAAGCTAGGTTACGCTAACGCCAAGGTAAGCAAACGATGCACTGTTTAGGTCCAATACATGAAGGTTGAGGTCACAAAGGTTTTTATCATACCTACCAGACTTAGGAGCACCCATAACTGTTAGTAGCACACGAGGAAGGGGCGTGACATTGGTAGAATGAGTGAATGGAAATGGCACAGTACCAAAAGCAGAGATGACGTGGTTCCCCTTTACTGCTCTAGGTGTATAAGCTGGATGACCCCAGCTGTCCCAGGCCAGAGTGCTACAGGTCCTGTGGCTCCAGTACTCCTGATGAGTTCCCTACAGACATCCCTGGAACCAAGGGCAACTTCAAACTGGTCAGACACGTGTCCTTCGTGGACTGTCCCGGTCACGACATTCTGATGGCCACCATGCTGAACGGAGCAGCTGTCATGGACGCTGCCCTCCTCCTCATTGGTGAGACACACTTCTGCTGATCAATACTGTATAATAATCCCCTTACTAATAAATCATCTGTAACTCTTACCCCTGACACTGTACTGATTGAACAATAATCACATTCCCCTATCACCTGATCAGCTCTCAGTAACTTAACCCACCTCTCCTCCAGCGGGTAACGAGTCGTGTCCCCAGCCCCAGACCTCTGAGCACCTGGCTGCTATAGAGATCATGAAGCTCAAACACATCCTGATCCTCCAGAACAAGATCGATCTGGTCAAGGAGAGCCAGGCCAAGGAGCAGTACGAACAGATCCTAGCTTTCGTACAGGGTCAGTGGCTGGAATAGCTTGCTCTTGTACAGCTTTGTGTGTGTGTTTGTCTGAGGGAAGTGTGTGTGTGTGTGTGTGTTTAACCCCTCTCTCTCATGTGGTGTGTAGGTACAGTGGCAGAGGGAGCACCTATCATTCCAATCTCTGCCCAGCTGAAGTATAACATAGAGGTGGTGTGTGAATACATTGTCAAGAAGATCCCTGTCCCCATCAGAGACTTCACCTCAGAACCTAGACTCATTGGTATGAATAGACACACGTGATGACTTGAACCAGCAGTCTCTGTTATGCTTATGATAATGTTTTGTTGATGTGTGTTAATGTGGTGCGTGTTTACGCGTTTCAGTGATCCGGTCATTTGACGTCAACAAGCCGGGTTGTGAGGTAGATGACCTGAAAGGAGGCGTGGCTGGAGGAAGTATACTAAAAGGCGTGCTCAAGGTAGGACACCTGCCGCTTCCCTTTGCTTCAAAGCATCATGGGCAAGTGGTTCAATGGCACACAGTTCTTATGAAGCTCTCTGCTTTCATTAACCTCTGCCATTCATTCTCTCTCTCTCATCCTCTTTCTCATCTCCTCTTTCTCTCTCTCCTCATCTTCTTTCTTTCTCTCTCCCTCCTTCTTTTCTTCTTTCCCTCTCCAGGTGGGTCAGGAGTTGGAGGTGCGTCCAGGCATCGTGTCTAAGGACCATGAGGGGAAGCTGATGTGTAAACCCATCTTTTCCAAGATCGTCTCTCTGTTCGCTGAACACAACGACCTGCAGTATGCAGCACCCGGAGGACTCATCGGTATGAACCTGCGTGTGTGTGTTGTGACGGTGTGGTGGGTCAGGTGTGTGTTTCTGATAGGGGTATAAACACTCAGGTGTGTGTTTCTGATAGGGGTATAAACACTCAGGTGTGTGTTTCTGATAGGGGTATAAACACTCAGGTGTGTGTTCTCTTCCCTATCCAGGTGTAGGCACTAAGATTGACCCGACCCTGTGCAGAGCTGACCGTATGGTTGGTCAGGTGCTGGGAGCGGTCGGAGCGCTACCAGAGATCTTCACAGAGCTGGAAATCTCCTACTTCCTGTTGAGGAGGCTTCTGGGAGTCCGCACTGAAGGAGACAAGAAGGCTGCCAAGGTCAGCACTGCACCCTGGGCTTGGTGTTGTACTGGTGTGGACGGAAATGGACTGGATTTTTTTATTCAGATTTTGTATTAAATCTAGAGGAGGAAGCATCTTTAGATTATTGAGACCCAGTGAGAGTGCTATGGTTTTTTTCTCTCGTTATGTTTGTGTTGTGTTTCTCCCTTCAGGTCCAGAAGCTGTCTAAGAACGAGGTGTTGATGGTGAACATCGGCAGTCTGTCTACGGGCGGCAGAGTGAGTGCAGTGAAGGCTGATTTGGCCAAGATCGTCCTGACCAACCCTGTCTGCACTGAGGTCGGAGAGAAGATTGCGCTCAGTCGTCGTGTGGAGAAACATTGGCGGTAAGATCGGGAGAGAAGAGGGGTTGATTTTAGGTGTGCGCGTGTTCTGCTGTTTACCCTGAATATCGTGTCTCATTGGTTCTCTTCCCTCTCTGCAGTCTGATTGGCTGGGGCCAGATCAGGAGGGGCGTGACCATCACCCCCACGGTGGACGACGACTGAGGAACCAGACAGGAAGTGTGTGTCTTCATGGTGACACCCTCTCAACCAGACGACATGCCCAACATACTCTTTTTCATACACCCACACCTGTTCAGGTCGAAAAAGAGGGATACTTGCCCCAGGAGGGGGAAGGGAAGAGGCTGCATCTCAATAGTCTAAACTGACTTCCTCACTTTGTCTTCTCTCATCTGCACTGATAAATATAGAACTGGGACTGGTGAAAGCACGTTACTCGTATTAGGTTTCTACTGCTTTCACCTGTCTTGTTTTCAGATCAATGCAGACGAAGGCGGATAGATGAGGAGAGGAAGCCACAGTAGAGGATTGAGATGCATCCAGGGAGGGGTAAGGGAAGGTAGCAGGTCTGGGGTTTTAAGATGAGTATCTCCCAAAGCAGGACTGTGACTGATTGAACAGGGGGTAGCACTCACAATGCTACAGATAGAAATGTAATGGATGGAGCTGAGATGACACGAGTCCCTATTAATTCCACATGATGGAGAATCCTGTCTTGATATATTTCTATCTGGCTGTACAGTAAGCGTTGCTCCCTCCTGCGTAAGCCCTGCCACAGAGGGGAGAGGAACAGAGGGTTGATAGTGCTGTGTGTGTTCTGCTGTCAACGGCTTTCAGTGGAATCTAATAAAATGCACATTTGGAACAAAACCCTGTGAGTGTGTGCTTCTTTAATATTCTATAGAATGTGATTGTCACCTTTATTATTCAATGTTCTATTTAGATATGTTTTTGTCCAATTGAAGCAGTCTTGTGGCAAGAATAAAAAGAGGGTTGTGAAATGGCTTCCATCTTTGAAGATCCTGTCCTATTGTGGATTAGTCACCGCTACTGTATAAGCACACACTCGGTAATGATTTACCAGTAAACTCCACCGCTAACTCACCTGTTGGGGATAAAGTTCAGCTCGGTCTGACACAAAGGAGCGCTTGGATTTTAACAATTGCCGAATACAAGGATAATGGCAAATACATCAACTGTGACTTCCAAAACAGCAAAGTGGTTCTGTGTCTGGTGATCTACAATGGGGAAATCAGTTCCTGAGCTACATTTACATTTTAGTCATTTAGCAGACGCTCTTATCCAGAGCGACTTACAGTTAGTGAATACATTTTTTTTTTTTTATACTGGCCCCCGTGGGAATCGAACCCACAACCCTGGCGTTGCAAACGCCATGCTATATCAACTGCGCTACATCCCTGCCGGCCATTCCCTTCCCTACCCTGGACGACGCTGGGCCAATTGTGCGCCGCCCATGAGTCTCCCGGTCGCGGCCGGCTGCGACAGAGCCTGGATACGAACCAGGATCTCTAGTGGCACAGCTAGCACTGCAATGCAGTGCCTTAGACCACTGCGCCACTCAGGAGACTGCTGGGCACTGGAAGAGCTGGATGACGGAACCATAAAGAGATTTCAATAGTACCTGAAAATGGGCGTGCTGGATGATTTTTGTCACCTCACAACAGCCCAGCTAGAGAACACAGGGAGGGAGGATACGATGGGGGAGGCCTATGGACTGATGGGGCTGTGGATACGATGGGGGAGGCCTATGGACTGATGGGGCTGTGGATACGATGGGGGAGGCCTATGGACTGATGGGGCTGTGGATACGATGGGGGAGGCCTATGGACTGATGGGGCTGTGGATACGATGGGGGAGGCCTATGGACTGATGGGGCTGTGGATACGATGGGGGAGGCCTATGGACTGATGGGGCTGTGGATACGATGGGGGAGGCCTATGGACTGATGGGGCTGTGGATACGATGGGGAGGCCTATGGACTGATGGGGCTGTGGATACGATGGGGGAGGCCTATGGACTGATGGGGCTGTGGATACGATGGGGGAGGCCTATGGACTGATGGGGCTGTGGATACGATGGGGGGAGGCCTATGGACTGATGGGGCTGTGGATACGATGGGGGAGGCCTATGGACTGATGGGGCTGTGGATACGATGGGGGAGGCCTATGGACTGATGGGGCTGTGGATACGATGGGGGAGGCCTATGGACTGATGGGGCTGTGGATACGAAGGGGGAGGCCTATGGACTGATGGGGCTGTGGATACGATGGGGAGGCCTATGGACTGATGGGGCTGTGGATACGATGGGGGAGGCCTATGGACTGATGGGGCTGTGGATACGATGGGGGAGGCCTATGGACTGATGGGGCTGTGGATACAATGGGGGAGGCCTATGGACTGATGGGGCTGTGGATACGATGGGGGAGGCCTATGGACTGATGGGGGCTATTTTTGATATATTCGTCAAAAGAGAGATCAGGGTCCAGAGTAACGCAGAGGTCCTTCACAGTTTTATTTGAGACGACTGTAAAACCATTGAGAATACTTTTCAGATCAAACAGCTGATCTCTTCGTTTCTTGGGACCTATAACTAACATCTCAGTTTTGTCCGAGTTTAAAAGTAAAACATTTGCCGCCATCCACTTCCTTATGTCTGAAACACTGGCTTCAGACAGGGTAGGCAATTTTGGGGCTTCACCATGTTTCATCTAAATGTACAGCTGTGTCGTCTGCATAGCCACCACCAAGACATAGCATATATAGTGAAAACAATAGTGGTCCTAAAACAGAACCTTGAGGAACACTGATACTTACCATTGATTTTTCAGAGGACAAACCATCCACAGAGACTAACTGATATCTTTCCGACAACTGCAAAAAAGATCTAAACCAGGCAAGAACTTGTCCACATAGACCAATTAGGGTTTCCAATCTCTCCAAAATAATGTGGTGATCGATGGTGTCTAAAACAGCACTAAGGTCTAGGAGCACGAGGACAGATGCAGAGCCTTGGTCTGACGCCATTAAAAGGGACTTTACCACCTTCACGAGTGCAGTCTCAGTACTATGATGGGGCCTAAAGCCAGACTGGAGCGTTTCGTATACATTACTTGTCTTCAGGAAGGCAGTGAGTTGCTGAGCAACAGCTTTTTCCCAAAAAGTATCTGACCCTGATAACAACACACACCTATACACATTCACACACACTTTCACTGGGAGAGTCTTTCCATTTATTGGTAATAGTTGTAGTCTCCATCCTCTGAGGATCTTACCAATGAAGGCCTCTGTGCAAGTCCAGCACAGTTAATTAGAGAAAATTCATCAATTGCGCTCCAGGTAGTCTTTTTTGCAGTTGTGCTTCACAGATCTCACAAGTGTTTAAGGTCTCTGGAACCACATTAAAATGATATAGCAATGCCCCTTGTCACAAGTACAGATTCCGGCCTTTTTATGCAGAGATAGATTTTTGAATGTACTTTTATTGTACGTTAGGCCGAACATATTTCCAGTAAAAAAAAGTGCAAAATATTTATGTAAATATGTTGCCTTTATGTACAAATGTAGGCTACATAAAGTCCATATATGTTTCCTTTGCGTAGTCTAATAGCCTAATCTTTGAGTGATAAGTAATATAATAAAGTTGTAATATGAATGTTAATAAAATATTTATTGATCAATCCAAACATCTCAGCCTTATTCCATCCTCTCTATTTGACCTTTTGACCTAGATGAGAGAATAGATTTTAGTATTGCCTTTATTATGTTGCGAGCAGTTCCATAGTACACGTCCAGGATGGACGGCACACCTGAGCGAATATCCGAAGAAGTCGCACCTAGATGCTGATCTAAGGTCAGTTTGGAGTTTTTTTGAGCCAATGGTTAAAGGTAGTGTTTGGGGAGGGCATGCCGATCCTAGATCTGAACAGGACAGCCTCTATGCTACTGAGGTAGGCTACACCTGCACAGACGCTGTTCCACGGTCAGGTCAGATAAGTACGTGGATAAACTGGGTTAAAAAAGTAGGCTATTCATTGTAAACTTTAAATGCCGAAGAATGTTCTGTTTGTCGCTATAAAAGAGACAAGACGCGCGCAACTTGTGTTTCTTTGGGGAAGCGCCACTGCGTTTTTTAAGATTTCACTGTGAAATTCAGCACACAGATTGATACAAAATTCTGGCTCCTCTTCTAGTCAGAAAGTCTATTTGATAATGGTATCTATGTGTGTGATCTGTGCTGTCTGTGTACCCGTCTGATTATAGGCAGCTGCAGAGTTGCTGAGCTGCACTAAAGGAACCTCAGGTATGGTGTTTTATGTTTTTGCTCTACTGATCCAGGGTCAGATAATTATTTCCTAACCTACTGATGTTCTACTGATGGTTAATTTATAATAAGATTTTGAATGAGATTAGAACATCTGATTGATCAGTGGTTACAGCCATACATCACTCCTGGACTCAATTGCTCACTTGACTGAATAGTAGGTGTGTTAGAGCTGGGCTGGAACAAAATCCTGCACACCCTGTAGCTCTCCAGAGCTGGGTGGGGGAGGAGGGTAAGGGGCAGGGGTTAATTTGATTTTAAACATAGCCCTAACCTTAACCCTAACCTCAAACACACTGCTAACCTTAAGCCTAACCCAAAGCTTCAATTTAGACCAAAACATTTTTGTAGCCAATTTTGACTTTGTGGCTGTGGAATCTGACTTGGTGGCTGTGGAATCTGACTTTGTGGATATAGAAGCTAGTGGAAACCGTCAATGTGGGATTGATAAAATGCCTGCTCATGTCTGTTTGTGATTGGCCAGATATCCAGAGGGGGCGGGCCGGGGCCGTTCGCCCTTTGACCTCATCATGAACCAGATCCGCAGGAAACGCACAACCTCAGACAGGAAGTCAACGTCTGGCCGCTTCCTGTCCCGCCAAGCGTAGAGTGGAGGGACTCCCGAGGACACAGAGAGATGGAGGAGGAGAGGAAACAGGTGAGAAGAGGACAGGATGAGAGAATAAGAGCAGGTGAGAAGAGTGTGATAACCCTGATAAGCAGCAAGAGTACAGTTGAAGTCGGAAGTTTACATACACTTAGCTTGGAGTCATTAAAACGTTTTTCAACCACTCCACAAATGTCTTGTTAACAAACTATAGTTTGTGCAAGTTGGTTAGGACATCTACTTTGTGCATGACACAAGTCATTTTTCCAACAATTGTTTACAGACAGATTATTTCACTTATAATTCACTGTATCACAATTCCAGTGGGTCAGAAGTTTACATGCACTAAGTTGACTGTGCCTTTAAACAGCTTGGAAAATTCCAGAAAATGATGTTATGGCTTTAGAAGCTTCTGATAGGCTAATTGACATCATTTGAGTCAATTGGAGGTGCACCCAGGGGCGGCCTGTTCAATAGGGCGATATGGGCGACGCACTGCCAAACGGGAAAAGGAAGGGATTTTTTTTCTAATCAATTATATCACGGCAACAGTAGTTATCAGTGTTGTAATCTATACGTCTGATCTGCCACAGTGCCACACTGCCACTAAATGTCGAATCAGGCTAAAGTCGTGCTTCAAATGGCTCCCCCCCCTTTTGGGGCGATTTCAGTCAGGTTGAAAATCGCCCAGAAGTCTCTCATAGCCTCTAATGTAAAATCTATTTTTTTCAAATTTCAGAGCCTTCAATACAATCTCTATGGGTGTCTGAGGGCTTGCACTTACGCGCTTTCGTCATACGTAACGTAACGTAACCATGAACGTAACTGAGAAAAGAGCGGATTGTGTCTTTGAAAGAAGTTGCTTTTTGTCGGCGAACAAATGAAGATAAATTGGCAACGAAACAATTAGGACCTCCCAGA